AAATCCTGTATAATCAGTTATATGCATTTTCAAGTGTTCTTAGGTGTCAGATAATCAGCTTTTATGATTGGATACTAGTCAGTAACAAGTGTAATGTGTATATCTAGTTCTATCTTTGGTCAGGCTGAATTCTACCAGTCGGTGGTAACCTTTCTGACTGCAGCACAGTGTGACGCGGATTCAAATCTCAGAAGGGACATGAGTTCCTTAGAGGTTGCAGATACGTCTTGCTTATGAGTGTCAACTAGCACAAAACCCAAGTTCAAGGCTTCCTGCTGATTGCCTCACAACCATTTAATAATCAGCTTTTTTATTTTGATTAATAAGATAAAACTGAGAGTCGGCTTCAGAGATTTTGTTGTGAATTTCAAGTCTACTTCAAATTGCTGAGCAGTCTAATATCGAGACAAGCCCGGTGTGCACTTTACGATGGATAGCTTAAATTACAGACCAAAATGTGTCAGATTTACTCAGTTATACTTTATTTTGAACATATATTTAGGATCTTGAAGGGAAATCTGTATTCACATTCATTTGTAAATGAATTTCAACATATTGCTTGTTCTGTTTTGAAAGGACAAATACATCCGTGGTCCGAGCATGTTGCAGACAGAACAGAATTCCGTTGAATGATATACCGTAGGTTACTGTTTTACTTGAAGACTCCGCAGTAGGAGTAGACGAAAACCAAGTGGAAAATTCTGTAATGTAAATAAACGCATCGTTTAGAATCACGCTGTCATTATTATTAGTAATTACATCTCACAATATATGTAACTGTAACATTAAAACTACCTTGGAACGTTTCAAGTAATTAACTTATAAAATTAGTGTTTCATGAACTTGATAAAATTATAGTTACACAGAAATAAAACTAAAGAAACAATGAATTTATTTCGTTTTATTGTAAAAAGCCTACTCAATCCATTTACAGCGTTTACATCAAAATATTTGGCAAGAGAAAAATAAGCATAAACACGCAATAAATATACAAAACGAAGTCGACAAAATGCCAATATACTGACTGACACTGAGCTATGTTTTATGACACATTAGTTTTGTTAATTTACATTCAAATAATTTATGAAATTGTGTACGAAATTGTGTTGACATTGTCCAAAATATTAAAAAGTTCAATAGATATGAACATAGAATTAAAAGATTACAAATAGTTACAACTCTTATCCATATTAAATTCGCATCGGCTTCGTTAACATTGACCACTGAATTGACACGATCCAGCTCACTGACTAATTCCATTACTGTATAGGGTAATAAAATTGTGTGATTCGAGTTTCTTATTATAGGAATAAATTCCGAGGTATTACCAGGTCTACTGGTACTGAAATGACTTCCATATATTCTGTGCTGCATCAATTTAACTGTGTATATAAAAATAACTAAAGCATTCGGTAGATGAATCAGGATGAATTTGATTAATAAAACTAATAGCATATTAGATACACAAAAGAATTCAGTGACCTGAGATTTACGTCTTATTGTTGTTGTAGAAGTATTTTCTTGGGTTAGATCTTTATTGTTATTATTGGTGGTATTTGGGCTAACATGGCCAGCAGTCATTTTACGACTGCTGTCATTAGTTAGCGTAAAAGGCTTTGATTTTTCAGGTGTAATACAACAGAAACAATTAAGCCTACTTTCTACATCATCCTTGTAATCATAGTTTTGATCGTGAGTATTAATGTGAAGGTAGTTGTCCTTAGGAATTTTCTCCTCTTCAGGTGATATATCTAGTCTTAGACAGTTTGGTAAAGAGTAGGTCTTAATTCGCCGATATGGTGTTGGTACTTTCGATGCTTGAGTAAAAGATTTGCCCTTAGTGAGTAGTAAATGTTTTTCATGAATACGGCGCATTTTAATTATAATCATTATTGTCAATATTATTAATAATATACAAGGCAATAAATGCACCAGTATGACACGTGACAAAAAATACAGAAACATTTGAATCGGTAAACATGTATGACATTTCATTACTACATGTGGCACATAATTCAATGCTTCATACAATAAAATCTGTTTAAAATTAACAGAATAATTCCTCAGTGTAAGATTTTGATGCAGAAGAAGCGGTTGAAATTTAATAAAAGTCGACTGGAACATTGGAATATGTAAGGCAAGAGCGCATAGAAAAACCATGAAGCACACTGATCGTACAATCGTCATAGAAAATAGCTTTGATGCTCTATTTGGAAATGTAATATAAATTAAACGCTGAAATGCAACGAATAATGTCAGCCATGTGGCTGTTGTATGACATACGGTTGGAAGAAATACTGTAGTCCATGCAAGTATTCCACTGGCTATTGGATTTGAACTTGTTTGATACACCTGTAGTGGTGCAAACTTCCACCATTTAGATATTTGTGTTAAATTATATCTTGAGAATTTATTTTTCTCCCACCAAATAGAATCATCATAAAATGCTCTCAATAAATACATTGGTAGAGGCAATAAACCATTTGACATTTCAGCAATTGTTATGCTCAAAAGAACTGCATATACAGGTGTTTGCATAGTTGGTCGAGTCAGGATACAGAAAGTTGTACCACTGAACACAATCAACATGATTAGAAGAATAGGCAAAATACCTGTTTGGATAACTTTATCAAACATTAAATTTCTGTCAATATTTAATTCAGGATATGGTCCACACATAAAATGTAGCTGCCGTGCTGATACCATTCCACCGTAACCTGTAGTACGTGCTGTTTTGTCAAATAAAAATAATTCTTTACGATTCAATATTGGTTTCACTACGCTTATTGCATTCAGTGCTATATTTTGTCCTTCAGGGTCGTTGAAACCATAAAATAAGTGATAATTAGTATCCACATCACTGTTGTTCATTGTGTTATTGAACTTTTTTTTTGAATTTCCACCTTCTGAGAATAACTATCTGGGTTCACATGAATGCAAGTTATCCTGAAATTCAAAATATAAACAAGGCAACAAGTCATATGGTGTTACAAGGCAAAAGTAAAATATTAGCGTCGTAGAAGTTTCTGACTTCTATGTTCACATATTTTCTGATTTCGCAGGGAGTAAAAGACTGTTTATGAAGCTGATTGAGAAAATTCAAGTCCGTTTACAAGATGAAATTTATGTATTTATAACAGTTGAAAAAATAAATCTGAGTTGTTACAGGGATTTAATCGTTAGGTGACATCAGTTAGAGAAACTGGACTGTTTCGTCCCAGTTTGGGACTCTTCAGAAGTATATACCCACCGCCAGCGTTTGAACCCAGGACCTTCTGGTTACAAGGTGAGCTAGTAGACCATTAAGCCACTAGGATCAAATCCAATGGCCACTTCATGAATTCCGAATTCTGCCGATACGCGAAACCACTAGCCAATATCTTCGGCGAGAATTTGTTCTCCTACCTGACCTGTTTTACCCAACTGGTCAACCAAATCTCCATAAACCAACACCTTTATATCTGAGTCGTATTTATTGTGACATTATCTAACTCAGATTTCAAGTTTTTTTTAAACAGCCACTGACGAATAATTTTTACATCTCAGCTTCCATGCTCTTAGTTTATTTTACCTGAATGAGGAATTAGACCATGATTCGAAAGACAAATCACATAGATCTGGTCATTGAGTATATAACCTGACACTGTCAGATGTAAAAAACTGGTTTACATACTTTGGTGTCAACCAAATGTGGTAGATATTAAACAGGATGTGATTATATTCGTTTTCCTATTAATTTAATATTTTCAGAGAGAAACATTATATCAATTTTCGCTGAGCTGAAACAAATCAACTTTGACACTGTTGAATGAAGATCAAGAATTGTCGAAAAACTCATTCGAGAAACAGTTGTCAGTCATTATCAGTTTACTTTAACTTCATATTTCCACTAATTACCTATGGAATGTCAATAAAGAAAATACCACACTATGTGATATGGTTTTCATCTCTGTCATTCATAAACGACTCCTTGAATCTCTTGAACACCATGATTTGTTCTTACAGACATATACATGTGACGTTTTACTAAAGATAGTCCGTGGGAAAACTTCTGAAGGATATTATATTCCCCGATGTATATTATTTATGATGCTAAACGTAATCAGCATTAACTAATGATTCTCATTACTTTCTACATTAAACCAAGAGATATAAGCAAACATTACTGTCTTTATTTACATCTTCAGGCTTCACTCTAATGTACACCAGAGATGGTGAATTTATGGATATAAATAAATGTTAAATTTTGTAAATATGTCAGTAATAATGACGATGTAATAATGATAATAAGGTCAGTATTAACAAAAGTCCAAACGGTTCACTGAGGTGATGACAACAATAATGAAGATACTGTGGTGATGTAAACAATTCAGTAAGTTAATCAGGTCACAATGTGATAGAATCAAAAATTGTGTAATACTAAAGATGCAGTGCGTCAGTGGCACAGAGGTAGAATGTTCGCCAACCACGCATTTCATCCGGGGTTCAATCCTCGGCTAACGCACTTCTTTACTTCGCTAAGCCAGTAATAAGTCTGGTAAAGAGGGAAGGTTGGGCATGAGGCTAGTAACCCCATCCCGTAAAAATAAATACCACTGCTACCGAAACTTCAAGTCTCTAGCTTGAAGCCCTATGTTCCACTAGGAACGTAAAGGGATCAAAAAAGATGCAGAGGATAAACAATCGAAGTTTAAATAAATACCATAAAAGTGCAAGAGAAGTGAAGAATAACAAGGTGAGAAGTTTTAATCAGTTTGTTAGATTTACCTAGGCTGAGACATACAAGGAGAATGAATCTATTGTGAGCAAGGGCTAGGATTATTCTCTCCAATTCTAATAGGTTGGGCTATGTGTAAAATATGAGTTTGAATATCTATAGGAAAGTCTGAAAAACAATATTCCTGTGTTTTTTTACTGAGTGGGAATATTTTTGAAGCTTATTTTAAGTGGGACTTGTGACAAAAATGTAGAACAAAACTGAACTCAGAAGTTATTTTACTGTTTCGAAATTTAATTTTATTCATCAGACAAGGTTACAAGCGGCAGGTACTCTTAAATCTTATTTATTAATACAAAGGGACTGGATTGATCGGTCTCAGATGAAATATGCACAGTAAGTTCAAAGTTCTTGATGTTTTCTTTTTGTTGAGATTAGGATTTGATATCTAAAGCATGGGAACGCCAGAATAAATTTTAATTATTGAAACATTAAAAAAGTACTGAGGTGTTGTTAGATTTCAAGTATGTTGAGAAGAGTACTCATTGTAAAAAGGTGTGACTGATATGGACCATCAGTTTTATAGACAACCTCTAACTTTTAAAAATGGCAATTATTCGTAACAGTTCTGAACACTTGGCATATCAGTATACCCAGACAGGAAACCCTGTATTAAATAAATCATTCGTCTTAAGCTATTTAGTGTTTGCTGCATATGAAAAGTTTAAAAATATTAATAACTGGTTGGAATGTCATATTTTTCAGTCTATTTCTGAACAAAGTATGACATTTTCTGTTGCTTAAAGCTTGTGATTAATTAGTGTAGTTTTTTTCTTAATTGTCAAGTTCTACGACATTATTAATATTGATTGGAAATAAGTCAAGAATAGAAACTATCCCCGGTATTTATGTTTAGTAAAACATTCTAAAGAGTTCTAGATTACAGTCATAAGTGAAGAACATTTTCCTAATCACAGTGACTAAGTGACTTGACGAAGTCTAGTGCGATGCACTAGCAGAATCATACAGATGGTATGTCGAATTTAACATAAATACCTTCAAAGAACTGTCATGAAGGTGATGAAAGCTGCTCAACTGTCAGTCTCATTAAACGGTTCAAGAATCGTCTCCCGAAGCAGAAGTCGAATTCCACCGGTTATCAAAGAGGAATCGTGGTTAATTACATTGGTAGACATAGTAAGAACTGTCCTACATACAATTATTCACTAGCTTCAACAAATAGGTACTTCGAAACACAAGGGGGGGGGAAATCTCGTTCACTACTTATGTTCTTGGAGTTTGAAGATTCACCTAAAAGTCTTTGCTGAGAACGGTCTACAAAGCCATGAAAGGCTTATTGATGAAACCAATAAGAAAAGTACCCTCAAAATTATAATGCAAAGGAAAACTCTGCATAAGTATCTCAAAATCTATGAACATGTCATTCCTGGAGTATCCAACAGTCACTTAAACGGAAGTGGAAATCACTCTAGCTGCACGGTTATAACACATCTGGTATACTTGAGTCAGAATATGATTCAAAATCTTTGAAGGGAAAAACGACTTGTCAAGAGTACCACTATATGTTTCCACCCTGTAATATATTCCCGTAAATTGATTTGATCATATTAGATGGTTGGAGCAATCGGCAGGAAGCCTTGGACCTAGGTTTCGTACTAGTTGGCACTAGTCAGCAAGGCGTATCTGATAGAATTCAGTCTACATCAAAGAAAGGACTAGACACACCACACTAGTTGCTAGTGTCCAATCAAAATATTCCCGTAAAGTTAATTATACTGGACGTTTAAGAGTATTTACAAGAAGTTTGCCACCAAACAATCTATATTTTTATTAAAAAAACTTAACAGAAGATGAAAATATTTATTTCAGAGCATCTTTTGGAGTTACATCATTCATTTTATTGCAATTTATCACGTACATTTATCAGTAGAGCTAAATTCAAATATCCTAAAAGTCTACATATTCTTCACTATCTATACATGAAGAGAGAATTAAAATTTACATTTAATGTTGGTCCATAGAATCTCTACCTCAATCTTGGTCATTTCTTTTTTGTTTCTGGTTAACTTCTTATCCTTTGAAATCGCCTTCTTCATGATCAATTATCTCAAACTAGGACGAAACATCTCTCCACTCCTCCCAGGTTTTCTAATGGTTCACTAACCGATGTCAACTCATGACGAAATCCTGTAACTAATCAATTAAATCCCTACAAACCAATACTTGAAAATCCCAATATTATTTCAGGCCCTTGATAGCGTCTATCTTACTTTATGCTTCTTGCTGTTAGTTTCTCACTTAAATGTCACTATTCCGTGTTTCTTCCTCAGCAACTCCACTCACTTAATAATCGTATGTGTATAAAGAATGTGGGACTTACAACCCCTTTTACGCAATACAAATATGACTACTCAGCTTAAAAATGAAGACGTTAGAGGAAAGTATCTTTTTTCACTGAATAAATCTTTATTTTCAATATTCTTGAAATAAAATTGAAGCTTATAATGCACATCACAGTGAAAAATATTTATGTAGCCATTCGACATTATCTTTTCAAAAAGTTATACATGCACTCAAATTGTTTCTGAAATTAAGTCACACTTTACTCTCGCTGAAGACTAGTGATTAGTCATTCTTTATTCATATATACACTAGTTTATGAATAGATACACAATACGTGTTTCACTTCACTTAGATTTTAGAGATATGATGATTACTATGATAAAAACAGATATTGGAAGAACTCAGCTGTCTGCTTATTAGTCAAGGGAAAGTGGAGTCTTTTTCTATGCTAAAATTCGAACCCATATCAGGAACCCTATCAAATGATCCAGAATACACAAGTATTTGGATAAATAAATTTGGCCTAGTTACTTAAGAAATAAAGCTTTTGTACAGTCTATCGAATTTCTTCTTCCCTCAACATCAAGAAAGTTTGAAACTTGGAGTATTTCAAAAGGATAGAGAGACCAAAATAAGTTTACTCAGTATTTAATTTCTTCTGAGTATTTATCGCAGAACTCATTAGCTCAAAAGTTTGAAGAGGAGTAATAGTCGCCTAGCACGCAACAGCAATTTATTAGTACGTCATTTTTGCAAATTATTCCTAGTAAACAAAAGATAATTAATACAG